TACCTTAGTCCAGCTGTTATGACGATTGCAGAGACTAAAAAGACCACTATTACTGATATTATTAATATTATGAACAAGACTGTTCCAACATCACTCAAATCACTGTTCTGACTCTACAAATTTTCCACAGTACTTCAACAGTGTTACAGAAGTACAGAAGGTTAAATCAGTGAATAATCTTTTTATGACTTTCTAAATACAGATCTGAAATATCTTTACTGTTACTAATGGGGAAAAAATCAACTGGAAACTGATACAATGTGTGTCACAAGTCCCACAAATCCACCACTTCAACTTTTACACAAAAACACTTATCTCATCCAAAAGCATATCCCATGTATCTATTTTTTCTCCAAAAGCAAGTCCCATTGTACTTTCTCCCCTTGATACAGTCAGAATAAGTGTTTAACAAGTTCTACAAAAAAACTACTACTGTCAATGGCACTGTGCTCTTTCTAATTTAGAGAGTGAGTTATACTTCTCCTAAATATGTCAGCTTGACTTTGAAAACATCATACAGGATATTAGCAAGTGGAAGGGAACTTAAGAGGGCATTTTGTCTAAATGAGCAAATCAACTGGGATAAAGATAATCCCAAAGCATATTTATGTGGTCACTAGGCATCTTGGACTAAGCCTAACTTGAAACTCCTGGGAGGGTCAATTTTAGATACACATTTTTGAATACTGATTTAACTACTAAGCAAAGCATTATACTCACTGATATGTTAAATCAGTTATAAATACACACACACACACACACACACACACACACACACACACACACAAATGACAGTACTGGGAATTGAATCCATGCCTTTGCACTGAGCTATATGCCATATCCTTTTTGAGAAAAGGTCTCACTAAGTCACTAAACTTCCCAGGCTAGGCTTGAACTTTCAATCCTCCTATCTCAGCCTTCCAGAGTGCTGGGGGTACAGATGTGTACCACCATGCCTGATTTCAGTTACAGAATAAGATGAAAAACTCACATAAATTTTTTGCATAAATCTTTTAAACTTTTACACTTCAGGTTTTCCTACTATTAAAAGAATCAATGTTGACTGTTATGGTTTAAATATGAAGTGTACCCCAAAGACTCATATAGTAAGGGCAGTAACTTCATTAATGGAATAATCTATTAATGAGTTCATAAGTGAGGTAAGGCCCAGTGGAGGAATTAGGTCTCTACAACCATGCCTTTGAAAAGTATAACCTGTACCCCTTACTTTTTCTCTCTTCTTTCCTGGTTGCCATGAGATAGGCAGATTTCCTCAAACATGATGTTTTTGCTGTGGAGGTAGCTGACCATGCACTGAAAGCTCTAAAACTGTGAGCCAAAATAAAACTTTTCTCCTTTAAATCATCTGTTGCAGGTATTTTGTCTCAACAGCAGAAAGATCCAGAAATCCTATCTACATGATGAGGACATGTTAATTATAATGATGGCTACCACTTATCAAACACAGTACATACAAGACACTATGGTTTGAGCCTTACATTCATTATCTCATATAGTCCTCATAATACTATCAGGTAATAAAGTTACTTTCATTACAAAGGGGAAACTAAAGGCAAAAAAACTTGCTCACATTTACCCAGCAAGCAAAGGGCACAGCTGACATTTGATCCATGGGCTGTCTTCAAAGCCTGTGATTTTTTGTTTGTTTGACACAGTGTCCCACTATATAGTTCAGGCTAGTCTTGAATTCATTATGTAGCCCAGGTTAGCCCCAAACTTTCAGAGATCCTCCTGCCTTGGCCTCCTGAATGCTTGTTTTTTTTTTTTTTTTTTTTTTTTTTTTTGGTACCAGGGATTGAACTTGGGTCCTCGCTCTTGCAAGGTAGGCCACTGAACCACTGAGCTAAATCCCCATCCCCTTGAATGCTTGGATTACACACATCACCACCATTTCTGGTAAAGCCTGTGATCTTAACTGTTGTCTTTGAAGTCTAAAACTGAGGCATAGAAAATACACTCAGTCTTGAATTCAAAATAATCAAGTCATCTTTCTGTTCCTCAAGTTTTCCTAGATGTAAAATCAGAACAATACCTACTCCTTTCCTCATTATGAGGATTCAGATGTTCACTTGATATATATGCACATGACATTTTGAGAGTTAAGAGCCATGCCAAAATGGTGTACAGGAATGTTTATGGCAGTCTTATTTACATTTACCAAAAAACGAGACGTATCCAAAAGTCCATCAGCTAGTGAATAAACAAAATATTTTATATATACAATGGAATATTGTTCAGTCATAAAATGGAATGAAGTAGTGACACGTGGATGAACCTTGCAAACATGATGCTAAGTGAAAAGAGCCCTGCACAAAGACCACATATGACATGGTCTTGCTTAGATGAAATGTCCAGAATAAGCAAATCTATAGAAAGAAGGCAGAGTAGAGGTTGCCAGGAGTTATATGGCATGGGGGCTAGGGTTATAAGGCATGAAGAGAGACTGATAATAGGTACAGGATTTCTTTGGGGGAAGGTGAAATATTTTCTAACTAGATAATGGTGATGAGTGCTCAACTATATAAAAGCAGTAAATATCACTGAATTACCCACCTTATAAGGTAAATTTTAATACTGTGTTAACTGTGTCAATAAGGCTGTATTTTTGTTTTTTAAAGAAAAATCATATTGGAGGACATGGAAGCCAAAGGAGATAAATACAAAAATGCTTTAGGGGGTATCACAGAAATATACTACTTCATGCTTATAAAAACATTCCAGGAACTGCACAAATATCATGGCCTTCTATTACCTCTGGTGGGTGTTAGCTTGTCCTAGGACCTAGGAGATTCTTAATTCACTTAAAAATATTTAACTCCACTAGTCCTGAATATTCAGCTAATAAAATGATAATAAAGTTCAATCTAAACTTGCTGCTGATGGAAATCCCAGGGCCACAAAACCACCAAGGGCCTACAATCAAGGCCAGAGAAGATAACAAGAATCTAGATCTAGTGAAAATGTTATCTTCTTATATTCTTTTGGAAGCAGCTTATCAAACTTTTTATAGTGAAATTAGATAATGAAACAATTACAAAGATACTGCTTCAGTAAACATCAACACTGAAACAATCCTTGCCTTTACATGCTGCTCATCTTAAACACATCTCATTTTCATTTCAAAGGTACTTATATTCAGCACAAATTCTTACCCCCATTTTAAAGAAAGGAAACCAAGGTATGAACAAGGTCATCCAATTAATGAGAAGTAGAACCAATTCCCAGTTCTGTGAGGGTTTTTTTTTTTTTTTTTTTTTTTTTTTTTTTTTTTTTTTTTTTTTTTTTTTTTTACCATGTTATGTTAGCATTTGATTTCTCTTTTCATCTTGGTCACTTATTGTTTACCAAATTACAAAGCAGAGCTGAGTCTGCACTTATAACATGAACTTGGCCCCCAAGAAATCTTAATCTCTCCTTTGATTGTTTTGATTTGTTGTATTCATTTCATAAACTTATTTATCAGGGTTGCATTAAATGTTGTTGTACAAATAAATCCATCTGACTAGACCTCTCTGGTTAGTCTTTCATGAATAATGAATGACTTGGGCCGGGGATTTAGGTCAGTGGTACTGTGCCTGCCTTGCAAGAGCAAGGTCTTAAGTTCAATTCCCAATACCAGAAAGGAAAAAAAAAAAAAGACTCAAAACCCTTAAATTTTTATAAGGATAGAAATTCCCGTCCTAGTTGCTGGAAAAAGGTTTTAAAACTGATTCAGAAACACTGTGACCAAGCCAGCCCCATCAAATGAGTTTTTGCTTCTCAGTAGATTGGATTCTCTGGATGAGAAATCTGTAGGGAAGATCTTTACCTACTATTGGAATCCTCACTTGTCACATGTACTCTGTTTTCCTGCTACTTACTATTTTGTAAGTTATTAGGCATTATTGTCTTTCTTTCTCCTTCCCTTCCTCACCGATAGGATTTACCTCACATTTTCTTGTGAGGCCTGAGATCTTCACCAGTCTGAACACCAACTGTAAGCAACTATGACACAAAAAAGTAACTTCATACATGGAAGAGTTAGGACTTTACCATATGACTACCCTACCTAAGTCTTTCTCCAGGTACCCAAAACTAACCAGACAGACAGGAACTGCTCTCCTAATAGTACAGATTAGGGATGAGGTAAGGGAAGTTCTTTCCTCTCTGATAATTGAAGTAGTTTTATTTAGAACACTGAAGAAAAGATTAAAGTACAATAGTAAACCCAGGCCTTAATTTTCAAAAGTAGGTGGATTCACAGAGCAAGGCATTAGTAACATTACTGGATTTTAAAAGGTATGTTTTTTTAGATTTCCACCCATCCAGCCCTGGATCTCTTTCTTTGCAGTAAATGTATAGTCCTACAGGGTGTAGTGGCACAGGCCTATAACCCTAGCATTTGGGAAGCAGAGGATTGCTGTTAAGTTTGAGGCTAGCCCAGGCTACATAGTGAGTTTAAGGCCAGCAAGACCCTGTCTCAACCCTCCCCCCGCAAGTTAAAGTCTTGACCTTGGTTAGTTACTTAATACTTTTATGATGCCACCCTATAAAGGTTCAAGTAAATAATTTTTACTTGATGTGAAAGTAAAATGAATTTTAAAAATTTTCCTAAGCTTTTCAGTTTAGAGGCAATTTTTTAATATTTAAAATAAATGAATAAATAGAAAATGACCAGAGATGACAGACTTTCTCTAGATAAAGGAATCATAGATTTTGAGCTATACGGGACAACAGAAATCATTAAGCATCAGGCACGGTGGTACATACCTATAATCCCATAGGTACTGGGATGCTGAGGCAGTAGGACTGCCATGAGTTCGAGGATAGCCTGGAATACTTAACAAGACCTCTCTCAAACAGATTACAATAAACAAGAAAACCCCAAAGGTAACAAAAATCAAAAGTACTCTTATACTATATGTTGACTGGCATTATACTGAAGCTTTTTTTTTCAAATGTTAGTATTTTACACCATAAATTCTTGACGTGTGACTCACCCTGCTGAGTTGATCCAATAACCTCTGGTTCTGTTCTGATAGTTCCTGGACAGCCCGTGTTTTTTCTCGATCTGCCTCTCGAAGATGAACTTGCTGCCTCTCTAATTCATCTTGTAGCTGTTTCACATCACTCTCCAGCTCGGACACCCGTCCTTCCCACTCCCCTTCCCTATTCTCAAATCGTCTTCTCAGTTCATGTTTCTCTTGTTCCAAGTGCTAGGAGAAAAGTGAAAGGATTTAAAAACTGTTAAAAAATTCCACTCGTTTGTTCCTTTTCTTTTACCCTCTCCTAACGTTTTTTTACACTGAGCACAACAAAACACCCTGACACACAGGACAAGTTGTCCAATTCAGCTACAAAAATATTCCCTCTTCCACAGCAAGAAAGGAACTGCTTTCACAGAGAAAACATTCTTATTGGAAATATTTGTTATCTTTAGTTTCCTAGGTACAAGGCTTAGACTTATGAATTCACTTGAAATTTAGCAAGCCATCTAAAGTACTGGTGAGCTACACACTTAAACAACTAAAAAACGAGTCCCACAGCCAAAATGCTGATTACTTTTTTGAGGCTTTTTTGGAAACCACTTATTATATGTGGATTAATGTCATACTCTTTCAATCACAGAATTTTCAAACATGGAAAGAATCCTAGAGATCTTTTAGCTAACAATCTCACCTTACAAATGAGCCAACACAAGTAGTTGAGTTACTTGTTCAATGTCTTAACTATTAAATGGTAGAATTGGGATTTGGGTATATGTCACTCTGTTCAGTACTCTAAATTGCAGCTTAACCAATATTTGTTGCTATATATAATGCTGTATTTCAAAATCATTAAGGTGAGTTCAGGACCAGTTCTACTTTAAATCAAAGCCTTGTTAACAAGACTTCCATATTTATGTCTGGTCCATTTCTTAAAAACTTATTTTATTGATACATTTTAGATACATGTAACAACACTCACCATAGGGAATGTCTACCTGTACATGATATATATATTGCTGCTTCTTTTGAGTGCTTACAACAGGACAGGCACTTTTCAGGTGACATGGTGATGAACAAAACAGACATGGTCCTTGCATTTGGACTGATAAAGGCGATAAACTGCATGTGACAAATGGTATGCAGGCTAAGTACAGATAATAAGAAGAAGCAAACATGGTCTCTTATTAAAAAATATAGTACAAGCTGGGCGTGATGCGTGCCCAAATCCCATCACTCTGGGAGGGTGAGGCCAGAGGATCTCAAGTTTGAGCTCAGGCTGGGTGACTTAGTAAGACTCTTCTCAGTACTGGAAATGTAGTTCAGTGCAAAGGCACTGAGTTCAACTCCAAACCACAAAAAAAGAAAAAAAGTCACCAATCTATACTTCAGTGTAAGTTAAACTAACAATCCTCAACCTTTGCTACTCTCGGTAAGTTTTTTTTTTTTTTTTTAAATCCCATCACTGGGAGGGTGAGGCCAGAGGATCTCAAGTTTGAGCTCAGGCTGGGTGACTTAGTAAGACTCTTCTCAGTACTGGAAATGTAGTTCAGTGCAAAGGCACTGAGTTCAACTCCAAACCACAAAAAAAGAAAAAAAGTCACAAATCTATACTTCAGTGTAAGTTAAACTAACAATCCTCAACCTTTGCTACTCTCGGTAAGTTTTTTTTTTTTTTTTTTTTTTTTTTTTTTTTTTGTACCAGGGATTGAACTTGGGACCTTGTACTC